AGAAAGTATTGAGTCCACAAAGTTTTCCTCTAAGACCTTTATACAGTCTCCTGTATTTACCCAGTAATAATAATTTAAAAGCTTAAAGGAATGTCTTCTTTCCACTGGTTTTCATCTTCAAAATATCCTGAATATATGCAAGTATTTTAAAATCTGAAAGATTTTTTTTTAGAAGTATTTTGTTTAAAGAATGTGTGTCATAGATAGTCACCTTCGGCACTGACTAATTACAGTTCTAGCAGTAGGTGTCATAGACAGTCACCTTCGGCACTGACTAATTACAGTTTTAGCAGTAGGTGTCATAGACAGTCACCTTCGGCACTGACCAATTACAGTTCTAGCAGTAGGTGTCATAGACAGTCACCTTCAGTACTGACTAATTACAGTTCTAGCAGTAGGTGTCATAGACAGTCACCTTCGGCACTGACTAATTACAGTTCTAGCAGTAGGTAGCAGTTAGTTCAAGACCAGCTTAAGCATCACAGCAAGGAGCAAGACTCTCCAGAACAAATGAATCATGAAAAATAAACAAGTAAATAAACAAACATAATGGCATAGGCATTCAGTATTTGCAGAATATTTTATTTGGTAAAAGTGGTAACATTTGTACGAATACCTATCTTCACATTATGTGTCCTCTAGCTATCTTGTGGGACATTTAGCACATTTATGTTAAAGAATTCTAGCCATGTAAAATATTGTCCTGACTGGTAACTTACAAATGAAATTTGAGTACTGTGCCTTCTACTTTTTACAGAAGTGGACTGGTGGAATTATTGTTTAAACCCAATGAAGGTAGACAGTGTGAAGAAATCTTAAGCGAGTTTCCAGATACTGTTATGAACAAGAAAACCTCTTGTGGAGTAAAACTGTGTGAAGACATACTTATTGGTCTCCCACCCCTAAATATGCATATTCCTGTTCAACCAGGACATAAAGGATATGAATATGAGATATATGAAGATAGTCTCTATAAATTTAGGGAATGTGGGAAAGCCTTCATGTATCCTGCCTGCTATCTGAAGCATGAAAATCCTCATACCATGGAGAAACCATATAAATGTCATCAATGTGGGAAAGCCTTTTCTTCTTCAAGTAAGGTTCGAAGACATGAAAGAACTCACACTGGTGAGAAGCCCTACATGTGTAACCACTGTGGGAAAGCCTTCCCTAGTCGTGGTTCCCTTCGCCGTCATGACAGGATTCACAGTGGAGAAAAACCCTTTGTGTGTAAGTACTGTGGGAAGGCGTTCACTGGTCAAAGTTCACTCCCACGCCATGAAAGAATTCACAGTGGAGAGAAACCCTATGTATGCAAATACTGTGGCAAATGTTTTATTTCTTCAAGTACCTGCCGAGTACATGAGCGGACTCACACTGGAGAGAAGCTCTATGTTTGTAACCTGTGTAATAAAGCTGTCACTACTCGTACTTCCCTTCGAAACCATGAAAGAATTCACAGTGGAGAGAAACCCTATGTCTGTGAACAGTGTGGAAAAGGTTTCATCTCTTCTGGTACCTTCCGGATACATGAGCGAATTCACACTGGAGAGAAGCCCTATAGATGTAAGGAATGTGGGAAAGCCTTCACTATACAAAGTTCTCTTCAACGCCATGAAAGGATTCACACTAGGGAAAAACCCTATGACTGTAAGGAATGTGGGAAAGCTTTTAGTGGTTATAGCTCCCTTCGACGCCATGAAAGAATTCACAGTGGAGAAAGACCCTATGCATGCAAGCAGTGTGGGAAAGCCTTTCCTGCTTTGGGTGATTGTCAGAGACATGAGCAAATTCACACTGGTGAGAAGCCCTACATATGTAAGCAGTGTGGGAAAGCCTTCACTCGTTGTGGTTCCCTTCGAATACATGAGAAGACCCATACTAGAGAGAATTCCTAAACATAAAATGTGGAAAGGACTTCTTACTGCATCCCCTTTCTATAAAAAAAAAAAAAGTTACAATGTTTAGGGAGGAAAACAAGTATCAATAGAAAGGTAGGAGGGCTGCCACTAGTCATATTGTTAAATTAACAAACATAAAGGACAAAGTAAGAAAGGACCCAATATTAAAACTTGCTCAGAAAGGTGACTGTAAGAAATAGCTCTAAAATTATGTGAAATTCCTCAGGTAGTAAAGAACCATAAATGTACATTATAAAAGACTCAATGCAAAGTAATTTATGTAGAATGCTCCAAAAAGTACATAACCTGAAGGGAAGTGTCCTAAAATTATATTACACTGATTAGTTTATTACTAAAGTAGATATTTGAACTATTTATTTCTAAGTTTAACTCTTGTAAATAAATGGTGGCATGACATAATTCTATGACGTTTGCTTAAGCAATGGAACAAGAGATTATTTTTTTTTACCCTGTTTCCTACCATTCTGAAGAATTTTGGTTGTTTGAATGGTAGAATGGCCTTTTGAGATATAGTTAAAGCAAATATATTAACAACAAATGAGTTGGTATTAGCTGACAGTGCTAGGAGAAAATTCTCCAGAATGAGGGATGAACTCTAGATTGGCATCTCATACAATACTGTTTCTTTTATGGGTCTAGGAATCAAGGGGCGTGGGGATCATCCCTATAACTCACTACCAAGTTTTTTTCCTGTTCTGTAGATACTATGGTTCCACCAGGAGGAACACCCACCCATTCCTTTGAACTAGAAACTAAGACACTCACCCACACATACCTAACCCCACACCCATTTACTCTGGGTTCCTTGTGCCCTTGACTTAACTAAAAACCGTTACTGTCACTGGAGTGACAGATCCACGTGACCAGTGGGGAATGAGACTACCATTCAGCAATGGAGATGTTCTGATTATTTTTTGTCTACTTTACACAAGCTAGAGTTATCTGGTAAGAGAAATCATCATTAGATTGACCTGTAGGCCAGTCTATGGAGGCATTTTTTTGATTAATGATGTATGGGACAGGGCTACTGTGGGTAGTGCCACTCCTGGGTAGGTGGCCCCGTGTTGTATAAGAAAGCAGGCTGAGTGAGCCATGAGGAGCAAGGCAAGATTCAAGTCTTCCTCCATGGTCTCTTCTTCAGATCCTACTTCCAAGTTCTAAGTTCCTGCATTGAGATTCTTCTACCCTGGCTTCTCTTTGGGCTATAATATAAAATATAATTAAACAAATCCTTTTTCCCTCCAGTTGATTTTGGTCAGTGTTTTACTAACAATAACAAATCAAGGTAGGACACAAGGAAAGGAAGTTCTATTCCTGAATTTCCTTATTATTGCTATGTCTGTTGATTAAAACCCATGGGAGGATACAGGTCAGTCCAAACAGAGTAATAAATGGCTCTGATACTCAGAATGGAAGTGTGAATCACATCTCAAGGTAAAGAACTAGTTGATTTGGGTGTATGATGTTTTTATTTACTTACAAGGTTTTTTAAACTAAATTATATTTTAAATTAAAATTTTAAAAATCAAGATGCTTAGCACTTGCTAAAGAGGAAAAAACAAAAAATGACATCAGAAGGTACTTATAAATATGGTATGTCTGTGGGACCAGCTATAGAAGTGAGGACTCTAATTATGTTGGGTCTTATTTTATTAAGAGTATATATGTTGGGCTGGGTATAGTGGCATATTCCTTTAATCCCGGCACTCAGGAGGCAAAGGCAAATGAGACTGTTAGTTCAAGGCCAACTTAGTTGACATAGTGAGTTCTAGAACAGCCAGGGATGCATAAGGAGACCCTGACTCAAAAACAACAACAAAAAAAGAATTATGTTTATTTTTGTACTTGATAGTGTTGGTTGCCAATGTAACAAATCTAGAATCACCTGTGAGACAGCCCCTGAGAATGTCTGTGGCCAGTTATCTTGATTCCATAAATGAGGTGGAAAGACTCACTACTGTTGGAAGTGGCATTTCCTAGCTGGAATCTCCAAGTGTATAAAAGTGGAGAGTTACCTATCTGAGCACAAGCACACATGCGTTAGTTCACTGCTCTCTGCTTTAGACTGTGGATGTAAGGTGAGAGCTGCTCACATTACTGCCATAGCGACTTCCCACAGTGATGGAATTATAAGCCAAATATTATGAGCCCTTCCCTTTATGTTGCTTTTACCTGGATATTTTGTCAGTACAACAGGAAATGAAGCTAAGACATATATACACATATATTAAGGAGATATTCATGTTTTCTTTCATCTCTTCCTTTACCATGTAATATATTTATTGATTTAATAATACTTGGTATTGCTATGTATTGTCATATTTAATTATGATATGGTAAGTGAATAAGCTTTCCTCAAGGAACTTTGACACCTAAGGAAACAATGTGTTTTCATTTGTACCTGAAAATCATGTTAGGTGAAATAACTTTGTTATTGTCTTTATTTAGAAATTGTGTATAACATAGGTTATTATTAAGTTCATAAAGGAGGGACTTGTAGTGGTTGATCTTAGTTGTCCATTTGACTGGTGAAATGCACCTGTATATTGGTGGGGAAATTTCCACAGAAGGAGTGATATGTAGGACAGTGACTTGAAGGAGAAACTCATACTCAGTGTGGGCTGCAACTCCCAACAGTGACTTCCCAACTTCCTGGATGAAGTCTCAGGAAAAAGCAGCAGGCACATACCTGCCTTCCTATTGGTCTGAGAGCATCTACTGATGCTACTGTGATCCTCTGCTGTCTTCTTCCTCTTAACGTGGACACAGTTCTAGTGACTCCCCAGGAGCTTCCAGTATTTTGGCCTCAGATTGAACCTCCTAAGGCATTTAGCTTTTTAGAGTGGGCAGCTACCAAGTTCTCTGCTTCTCTGGGACAACCAACCATTGTTGTATCACCAGCCCCTATCATGTATGACAATCTAGTAAATGCCTCCTTTAATAATATTCTTGGTTTGATTCTGGAAAATCTTAATATGATCTGATTAATTGAAAGAGGGAAATTTTGCTCTTTTTTGGCTTTTGCAAAATTTATTCAATTTTACAAATTTCAAAGACATATACAGAATATTTGGGGGTTTGGTGTTTGGTTTGGTTTGGTTATTTGGTCTCAATCCATACTACTAATTAAGAGTTATCTACTGTTTAAACGTCTGACGCGTGTGTGAGCTGCAGAACGTGCAGAGGTCAGAAGGCAGCTTCGAGCGTCCACCCACCTTCACCTTCCGTCTTGCTAAGGCAGGGTCTTTCTTGTTTCTGCTGCATATGATAGCTGGCCTGGGATCTCCTGGGGGTTCTGCTTCCATCTCCTGTCTTGTCACAGAAATACGGGATTACAGGTGTGCGATTGCTGCATCTGGTTTTTACTTAGGTTCTGGAGGGGTTTTAACTCAAATTTCACTGGGCAAGTCCTTTAGCTACAGCTATTGCCCCAGATCAGAATTATATATTTTTGCAGTTGTGTTAACATGAAATATGCCATTCCTATGAGTGTGTGGCTAACTAGACATCTGGACTAGTTTTAGCTTTTATAACTTAGATATTCAAATATTTTCTATGATACAATGAACAGTCCTCCAGTAAACACAAATGTTCTACAAATTTGGTAATTCTTGCTTTTATAAACTCACAATGAAATGAGTCTATAAATTGAAATTTTAAATTACTGAATTTCAAAGCAAAGTTGAGGCTAAATTTGATAATGTTCAAATTGAAGCGTGCCAGAAGGAGAAAATTATGGAAAACAACCCCCAGCCCCATCTCTCGTTCTCTTTGCTAATGAAACCAGGAAACTATAGAGATACTATTGATAAAACTCAAATTGAAAAGCCTGCCATGGCGGTGTACACCTTTAACCCCCAGCATGTAGGAGGTTCTCTGAGTTCGTGACCAGCCTAATCTGCACAGTGAGACCGTGTGTCATAAATGGAAGAACAAAAAAGAAGGAAGAAGAAAACAAAATTTCTTAAGATTAAAATGACATATGATCTTGACTTTCTAGCACTTGCTTCTCATTCCTAAATCTATACAATTACCCACAGAAATCTGCCTCACTACGCCATTGTTTATCATGGACTCTGCTCTCTAAGAAGTGTTTTTAAAGGTTTGTTTATTGTGGGGGGAAGGGATGAAGGAGTTTAAGCAACCTTTAAGGAACTTATTTTCTTCCCTTGAGAACTTTTCTGTTTTAATCTCCAAATCTGCATTGGCTTAGCTTGAAATTCTTTTCTTTACCAAGGCCATGAGTCCCCCTTTTGCTTGGTGACAGAATGCTGTGAAACTCTCTTTCACCTGCAATGACAAGCTCATTTCTATTAACACCTGTTGGACAAAATCATCTGTTTGATAACACATTGAATAGCTTAATGAATGGAATGTTTCATGCTGCTGTATGATGCTGCTGTATGATGTGATGGCAGTTTTATGCTCATTAGGATAAGCTGTGCTCTATCTGAGTTCTATGTGTCGGGATCATCCAAAAGTACACTGCATATTGATATCCAGTTTAAGATCACCCTTTGAAAGTTAATAGCATTTTCGTATTTTTTTGTTTATGTGTATGTGTCTGTTGCCCACCTGAGTTTGTATGTACTATATAAATATGTGGCAGCAGAGATCAGAAGACAGGGTTAGATCCCCTGATCACCATGGCAGTTGTGAGTCACTTGATGTGAGTGCTAGGAACTGAATCTGGGTCCTTAGCAACAGTGGTGTGTCAGTTTATTTTCTATTTCGGTAGTAAAATATCCTAATCCAAGTCTTTCCACTCCCAAGTTTTTGTTGTTGTTGTTGGGTTTGATCTGTATTTTATTGCAACAGAAAGGAAACTACAAAAAATAGTTAGCACTCATAAGTAGTGAGCCATCTCTCCAGCCCCTTGATAGCATTTTCTGATCAGTGATTTATATTTCCCAACCAATTAAAATAAAAAACTCTAAACAAAGACTATTGTGAATCACTGATCATCCTTCTTTCTGTTAAAATATTCCTAAATAAAATACTCACTTACTTCTTAGTATTACTATAACAATTTTTAAGTCTGTTGTTAGACCTGAAAAAAAAAATTCCATGACTGGTTAAAGCAAGCCAAACTTGGAACTGACCATCTGGCTGCCTCTCCCAAAGTTGGAATTTCAGATAACAGCTTCTCACTGGTTTGGGGGTCCTTTTATGGGAAAGGGTTAGGGTTAATAGAACTGTCAAGATAATTGGCTATTAGTACCTGGACAGAAATCTGGAGGACTTAGGGCTCAAGGCTGCCTGTGAGGTGAACAAATGCCATGCAAAACAGCTTCCAGGATAGTTGGATTTTAGGAAGGAGGCAATAAAAATAGTGAAAGACACATTTTCATAAGGCAAAAGGGCTGTCATTACCCAGGTTCAGGAGTTCAGAGTAAGGCAAAAGGGTGGGTGAGTTTACATCATGGGGTTGCAAATGCATCATAGGTTGAAAAGCATGAATTACCAGAGGCTTAGAAAACAAAGGTATTCTTGTAGGATATAAAAACTTACTAACAGTTATGACAGTGTAGCTTCTTACATTAGGCTTAAAGAGCAGAAATGTATCCTTGTAAGGTGTGGAGACTTGTAACAGTGACAATATGGGTCTGGCCCCTCTTTTGGTTCCACACCACATGAGGGCAGTATGTTTAGGTAAATTGTTAGGAGCCTAGGAAGAAACAAATATAATACCACTTGTGGTCAGTGTCTAGCTCCTTTAAGCATATCATGGTCATCCTTAAGCATTTATTAATATTTATTCCTTTGTTTATTACCTGGCCTGGAACCCATGCAAACCAGGCTGGGCTCCAACTCACAAACACCTGCCTGTATCTGCCTGCCTCTGTCTCCTTTGCTGGGATTAAATGCATATGCTACCACACTCATGAAAGCAAGCATCACCAACATTCCATGTTTCTTGTATTATAATTAATTCAGGTTTAGGGTTTTCTTTCCATTAATGTTTTCACATTACATCCCAATTGCAGACCCCCCTCTTTGCAGTGCCCCCTTACACATTTCCTCCCCTCAATCTCCACTATTCCCTTAGGCTTTTCTAATGTCTATTGTTGTAGCTGGACCTTCTGATGAACTCGTTTAGTGTTAGGAAACCTGGCACATCTTAAAGCAAAAAGATATGGATGAGTTCACAGAGCTGTGGAATAACATCAAGAAGATGCAGGTGCTCCCACAGCCTAAGCACTTCAGAATGCTTCATCTCCTGAGAGATGCCACCCAGAAAGCAGACAATAGGAAAATAAATTGAGCTATTCATCTGCTTCAAGGAGTGGATGGCAGTGGGTCTGTTTCCCTTTACCATAGGCCACAGGTTCTTTTACTCAGGGTCTCTATGGGTTCTGGTAATGCTTATACTCCTTAATAGCTAATGCCTACTTCTCTTGGTACTGTGACTTCATCGTGTTCCATATGAACTAGCTTCTGTACTGTTCAATAACATCTCCACCAGTCTCTCACTCTGAGTCATCGGAATCATACCTAAACCAGACATGTAGCTGGACACCGTATAGATGTCTGTAGGCATAATGTTTTTATGCATGTGTAAAGGTTATCTCTGTGTGTGTTTGTTTTTAAAGCATATGTACTAAGTGTGCTTGTAGGAAATATAAATGAAAAACCAAGAGATATAAAGCTTTAAAGCACAAAAGGGAACTAGAGAAATGGCTCAGCTATTTAAGAGCACTAGTTGGTCTTACACAGAAGAGCAGAGATAGATTCCCACCACCTACACTGGGCAACTCACAACCACTCTGGGAAGAAATCTGATACCCTCTTCTGGCTTTTTGGGTATCACATGTGCATATACATAAATAAATACGTCTTTAAAATTAAAAGACCAAGAAAGGACTCAAGTGCCCATACTAGCCTGCAGAAAGACACTTGCCTGGGATGTAAGGAAGACACCTGCCATGGGTGCCACTACAGTAGGTGAATGTGTGATGGAAAGTTGGGAAGGATGGAGTATCCAGTGGAAATAGAGAAGAGAAAGTGAAACCTAGAGGTTCAGACAGTGTGGAGAAAGGTATAACTGGAGACTCGACAGCAATAAGGAAGAGGCAGATAGGAGGAGGTCCTGGCCCAAGAGCTGCCACCAACGGCCATATCTAAGTCTGTAACCCTGCTGCAACTGATATCTGTGTCAATGTCTGTTATAACCAAAGGCCAAATAGATGTCTGTGGTCTGGGCTGCCGCTGGACACCATGTAGATGTCTGTAGGCATAATACAGATTTATTCTAAATACATAGATTTATTCTTTGTAATATTTTATGAAAATGAATAGACTGAATACACTTCTGGTGGTTTAAAGGTAGCTGTTGTCAAAACAGCAATATTGCTCTACAGTACTCCAATATGTTTCTAAGAAGTTTATTTTGCTAACAATGTCTATAATGTCTTATTATATTTAATATGTTTTTTCTCTTTTTTCTTCCTTTTTTTCTTTTGAATTTTCTAGATAGAGTTTCTCTGAGTAGTCCTGTCTGTCCTGAAACTTACTCTATAGACCAGGCTGGTCTTGAACTCAAAGATCTGCCTATTTCTGCTCCCAAGTGCTGGGACTAGAAGCATGTACCACCACACTTGGCATATTTAATATTTCTTATGGAAGACTGTTAGGATAAAAAATATTTAAAATTTTAAATATCTGTCTATGCACAATGGTTTAAAAAATGACCTCAGTGCAAACATGGAGTTTACTTTCCCTTGGACCCTAAGCCTGAATGTAATTTAGTACTATCATAATGTCATGCTTGGAATAATGTCTGTATCCACTGAACCATCAGAAAGTACCATACTGTGGTAACAAGTTGGTGCTCCATATATTCCAGTATAAAACCACGTGGATTTGAGATTTTTGTCTTTACAAATGCTGTTGTGAATGCTGAATACTGTTTGAAGGAATTGTTTTAGATCAAATCGATTTTAAACACGGGCTTTTTAATGATCACTTGCTTATTTTTCAAGTTTCCTGTCACACCATATTTATTGGAGAACACTGCTTTCTCTTTTAAGTGCAAATTACCTTAGATTTCTCCAGGCAATTTTCAATGTTCAGGTCTTCCAGAATTTTTTCCTAAAGTGAAGAATCAGAAGTCACAAATTACATTACAAAAAAACCATATATTTTCTCTGCATTCATAGCATAAAGTGATCATTTCTGAAATATTCATTAAAATGTTCTTTTTCCATATTTCAAATCACTGGGCATCACTGATGTACAGAGAACCTTTCCAAACTCCGAACTACATAAGGTACTAGGCAACTCACTCTCACCTATAAAAGACAAGTTTCTGAAGGCTTCCTGAATCACTTTTCTGTAGAATGTCTTGTGGGGAGGATCCAGCACAGATCACTCTTTCAGGGTGAAGTTCACAGGCACATCACTAAATCTCCTGACTCCTAAAATATCCCACATTTCCAGGAGAAAGGGTAAGAATTACACTATAGAACTGTCCTCATTTCATTAGTAGGTGATAAAGAGCTGGAGGTATGGCTCAGTGTTGGAGAACTTGCTTAGTATGTGTAAATGGGGTCAGTCTCTAGCAGAGAAGGAGAGCGAGGGGAGGGAGGGAGGGAGGGAGGGAGGGAGGGAGAGAGAGAGAGAGAGAGAGAGAGAGAGAGACTGCAGAAATTCACACAATCGTGTTTTCTTTATGTCCTCTTTTATGCTTTTCATATTCACAGCTTCTCAAGAAGCAGTGCTGGAATGGAGAGGTGGCTTGCTGGTTAAAGATGCTTGTTCCATAATCATAGTGACTGATGGTTATATCCCAGTATCCATGTAAAAGGCTTGTTGGATTTCTCTTTAGATTATTTTTATTCATAGATATGTGTATGTATATGTGCATATGAGTGCGGGTGCTCAGAGAGTCTAGAAGAGGGCATCAGATCCCCCAGAGCTGGAGTCACAGGTGTTTTCAGTCATCCAATGTAAGTCCTGGGAAGCACACTCAGGTCCTCTGCAAAAGCAGTATTCTTAACCACTGAGCTAGCTTTCCAGCCCCAACAAACAAAATGTGTTTTTTTTTTAAATAAAAGCATATATTGAAAAGCAGATAGCCTTTTTAAAAACAGTGTTGAGACAATTGAATAGCTACATGTAGAAAAGTAAGTTATGTTTATATCTCTCAATCTGCATAAAAATTAACTCAAAATCAGAAACCTTAATATAAGACCAGAAATTCTGAAGTGACAATAGCAAAAGATAGGCAAAGTCCTTAAAGATGTAGGTCCATCCAAGGACTTTATCTCTTTTTAAGATTTATTTTTATTATTTTAAGTTATATGGTTATGTCTGTGTGTAGGTGTCTTAGGGTTTTATTTCTGTGAAGAAGAGACACTGTGACCAAGGCAACTCTTATAAAGACAAATATTTAATTGGGGTTGGTTTGCAGTTTTAGAGGGTTTGTCCATTATCATCATCTCAGGAAGCAAGGCAGCATCCAGGCAGACATGGTGTTGGAGAACACCATGATGTAAGAGTTCTACATTTTGATCCAAAGGCAGCCAGGAGGAGACTGGAATGTGTTTCACATTGGGTGTAACTTGAACATTTAAGACTTCAAAGCCCAACTTCCACAGTGACACACTTCCTCCAATAAGGCCACACTTCCTAATAGTGCCAGTCCCTATGGCCAAGCATTCAAACACATGAGTCTATGGGAACCATGCCTATTCCAACCACCACAGTGTGCAAGTGCATATGTGCCAGGAAAGGACAAAGGTGAGTTACAGATAGTTGTGAGCCATCTGATATGGGTACTGGGAATGGGTTCTCTGTTAGAATAGTACATGTACTTAACCACCAAGCCATTTCTCTAGCTCAACCAAGGATTTTCTAAATAGGATTTCAATAGTATGGGAGATAATGCCCAAATTTGACAAATGGGAATTCATGAAATTAAAAAGTGTCTGTACAGCAAAGGAAATAATCAGCAATTCAAAAAGGTGGCATACAGACTCTTTGATATAGTTCTGATAAGAACATAGAATATATTTCTCCTGCTTAGGAAAAAATCTGAGATCTCCGATTCTCACAAGTCTGATTCTTCCAGAGAAATGGATATACACTGTCTTGGACCTGAGCCATGCATTTCTCAGCATTACATTTGCAGAGGTGAGTCAATTCACCTCCCAGTAGAGACCCAGTGGGAGGTTACAGTTAGCAACATACCTGGACCAGATTGCCCCAGAACGTAAAGACACTAAATGTATACTTTCTACCTTTTTGTCAGAGAATTCCTGGGAAAATAAATTATAAAAGAGTCATTGAGGAACTGCTGGAAGAGTTTCAAGCCTTAGGCTACAGAATGTCAGTTAAGAAAGCCCAACATTGTAGAAGACTACCCATCTTGGCTTCCAACTGAAGGGCAGCAAAAGGAGCCTGTCTCAGAAGAGGATTGCTGCCATCCTTCAGAGCCTATCTCCAAAGACTGAGAGACAGGTTCAAGAGTTCCCAGGTGCCACTGGCTTCGAGAGTCTGTGGAAACGGCACAAAGCAGGCACTGAGTCCCTGATCTGGACTGAGGCTGAGACTGAACACAAAGGCATTTGAGACTTTAAAAACAGCTGACTTCTGCTCCAGCCTACAATTTCCAGATCTCTCAAATCCTTTCAACATGTTTGCTCATGACATAAAAGACAAAAGCAGCTTTAAACACAAACTTTGGGACCGTGGAAGCACCCTGTGACGTAGCTGTCCAAAAGGTTGGACCCTGTAGCTACAAGATGTCCCACCTATTTCAGAGGTGTGACCCGTACTCTTGGTTTAATGAAAGAATGCAGACATGTTAACAACACTCCATAAGGCTCTCCTCTGAGGAGTAATAGAACATTTACTGTCTAGTGACTGTGTGACCTAGTGCCAGGCCTTATTCCTGGCACACCCTCAAGTCCAGTTTGAGAAACCCACCACCATCAAAACAGCTACCATTTTGCATGATGACACAGGTGCATAGCCATGACTGTCAGGAGATGAAAGATGAAACCAGGTACGTAGGAGCTATAATAGTTACTCTAACCAAAACAATTTGGGCCCAAGCCAGGTCCCTGCCAGAAAGCAGGACTGATTGATCTGATTCAGGCTCTTTGATGGGTCTCACTTGTCAGCCAGTCCAGTCTAACCAAAATTACAAGCCCAGGCATCAGTCAAAGGTCCTGCTTCTAAAACATTGTAGATTGCTCCTGAATGTAACATGTTACATCACCCCAAGTTGATCCATGGTCTTCACATGCACCCAGAACATGTGCACATGCGCACACACACAACTAATAATAATAATAATTAGGGGCTAAGTGTTTGCTTAGTGATGCTATTAGTTTGATTCCCTAGCACTGAAAAAACAAAACCTAAGGGGGACTTGAGAATACTACAGTGACTTGGAAATAAAGAACACTGGTGTTTCTTCAGAGGACCTGACTCAATTCCCACATGGCAACTCACACCTGTCTCTAATACCCAGTCTCAGGGGATTTAATGCCATCTTCTGGCTTTCTCTGGCACCAGACATGCACATGATGCAAAGACATACATACAATGTGTGCTTCCACATTCAAAGATGTGCACATGCCCAGAAATATTAAACTCTCAAAAAAAAGTAAACACTGCCTACAGATTGATAGATAGATAGGCAGGCAGGCAGGCAGGCAGGCAGGCAGGTTGATACAGAGAGATAGATGGTAAAGCTACAAGAGAAGATTTAAATACTCTGTTCATTGGTCAGCTCTGAATGCTGAGCTGATCAGGCTCACCTAAACAAAACATGGCCTACCTTTTCATCGGTGTAAGTTACATGGCTACCCTAACTTGATGTTAACAGTTTACATAAAGAATCTCTTTTCTTCTTCAGATTCCATCACTCTATCAAAAGCCAGCACCAGGTGGGACAGTACACATCTGGATCAAATCACTTAGAAGAAACCTGAGAAACAAGGATTCCAGGTCATTCTTCAGCCATACAACGTCTGAGACCAGCCTGAGTCAAGAGAACCCATATTTCCAAAAAATGGAGGAGGTGGAAGAGGAGGAAAGAGATTAGGAAAAGAAAAAAGAAACAAAACTGGAGGAGGACTGGTAAGGGAGAGGGATAGGAGGAAGAGGAGAGGGGAAGAAGGTAAAGAGAGGAGAGGGAGAAAGGAGAAGAGAGGAGATCAAATTAAGAACAGTATCTTACACACAAATCATGAAATGTCTTTGTAAAATAGTATTTTATTTAAAAAAAATAAAAGAAAAAATAAAAAGGAAGAAGGAAAAATAGAGGAAAGGGTGGGAGGGGATGGAAGGAAAGGATCAAATATAGTGATTCATGCCTGTCATGCCAGCACTGAAGAGCCGGCACTTCAGGACAGCTACAAGTTAGAGACCAGCCTGGGCTACAAGAAACCTTGTTTCAAAACAAACAGCAAGAGGAGGAAAGAGGAGAGAAGAGGTTCATACATCCTACTTTCATTTCCTCTTAGTGTGAAAAGGACTGTCCTTCATGATTCTGACCAGTGATCAAGCTCTCAGAGACAGCAAGATAACTCAGTGGGAAAGGGAACTTACCACTAAGCCTGGCAACCTATGTTTAATCCCACACAATAAAAGGAGAGAACCAACTCTTACAAGTGATCCTCTGACCTCCACACATGTGCTTGCCACCCATAAATGAATAAATAAATGTATTTTTAATTTTAATGAAAGCATCCAGAGACTAGAGAAGATTGTGACCTGTGATCTCATCTTTTGATGTCATTTCTGACAAAGAATGTGTGATGGTAGCTGAACACTGACCACCTCTCCGACACCAGAATTCAACACACTGGCACTCAAATGTCCCAAGTTCCAACATATTCAGTGCACTCTCCTCAAAACAGCCCCATAGCAGATCCTGGCTCATAGCATGTATGTGTTCTACCTGGTCACCACTGCCATTCTGAGATCACAGATAGTGAGTCACACCTTTAGCATAAATCCAGGTATTGCTCCAAGACTTTCTTGTTGCTGAAGAAACTCTTGAGAATTTAAGGTTTTCTGTGCCCAAATCTAGACAAGTACAGTTTTTTTTCTTACTAGACTATACATATAAACCTATT